TGGATGTAAACAAAAGCTAACCCTGCTAACTGGACCTGATGTAGAGCTGGTCTGAATCCGAACCTGTCCCTAAGCTCCGCCCCCTTCTCCATCAGATGGCCGCTCACACTGAGCCTGGTTCTGCTGGAGGTTTCTTCCTGTTAAAAGGGTGTTTTTCCTCCACTGTCGCTACAAGCATGCTTAGTGTGAGGGATTGTATTTGAGTCAATTAGTCAATGCAATCAACTGGTTTTCCTTAGATAGAAAACTGTATCAATTTGACTGTTTGATCGGATTGAACTGTAAAGTGCCTTGAGATGACATGTGTTGTGAATTTGGCGCTAGAGAAATAAACTGAATTGAATTGAATAGTTCCTAGATCCGGTCTTCAGCCTCTATGCTGTCTGGTTCCTGTAGCCCTCGGTGTGCAGCTGCTGCAGCCGATGTTGCTGATGAAGCTGAAGCTGCAGGACGACTCTGACACTCTGGATGTCTTCCTGTGGAAACATGCGGTGAGTTCCTTCTACTTCTCAGATATCTGTCTTCAGGAAGGAATCAGGGCAGGGGGGTACCAGGCCGGCTGCGGCCCGGTCGGGTCACCCCACCCCTGAACACAAACAGTCCCATTCTGATTGGATCCTGGTTCAGTAGCCCCGCTGTTAGGTGGTGGGGGTCTGATCTGAGTGTAAAATCTATGTTTCTGCATCTTTCATCTGTAGAAGCAGGGACAGAATGAGTGGGCTGCACCTACATCTGAAATCATTCAACGGTCTGATTAAATACCGAATAGACCTATGTGACACAGAGTGAACTATTCAAGCCTTTGCTGATAATCACAGCCTATAGATGATAAAACCCAGAAGTCTGTGTCTGAGATTTAATCAATGATCAATGAAAATATAATTATAAAGTAATTGATGAGCTAAAATCTAATTATCTTTGATTCTCCATGAAATTTTTTTTATTAAATCAGTTTCTGATCAAACAGAAACAGTTAATCTCAAACTGCTGCTGTCAGCATGAAGATCCGTTTTCACTAAGAGCTTCTCCACCTACTGGGGGTTAAAACCTGAACTGTAACCAGTGCTGATGGAGAACCATCAGTTAGGCTGAAACCAGTCAAACCAGTGCATGGTGCCATCTGGGTCCTTCAGCTTTGCTGCTTCCTCCTTCAGGAGCTTTTCTTCGGCGTGGCAGCAGGAGACGTGTGGACCAATCAGGAGGCTCAGAGCAGTGTCCAGCAGGTGATGGACGCCCTCTGTCCAGCAGAGGGCAGCAGAGGTAGGTCAGCAGCAGCTTTGCTCTGCCTCTCCTGCTTCCAGCGGCTGTCTGATGGTCCGGGTGTTCTGTTGGACCCGTTTCCAGGACGTCGGCCGTGGCTGGACCTGTGTCTCCTGGCGTACCGCCCTGAGGGAGACGAGGAGAACCGGACCTGTTACCAGATCTGCAACACCGCCGTCATCAAACATCCGTCTGAATGATTCAAGCTGCCTGGTGAACCTGTGTTCTGATCCACTTCAAGTTCTTTCCTGTGTCACACCTCCTATTTAAGACTGTCAAAATAAAAGCATGCATGAATAAGCTGTCTGAATGCGGTGTTTTATGGGCGGTCATGATGTCATCATCACAGAGGAAGCTCTGCTCCACCTCTGAGTGTGGAGAGATGATGGACCACTGGTGTCCACCCAGACCGACAGGAGTAGAGCATTGGTCAGAGAAGCAGGGGAGGAACTGCAGAGATCCACGGCTCAGGTGGAGGATGTTGGCGTGGCAGACATGTTGAACGAAGAACCAGCAGAGATCTGCTGTAGGAACCAGATCTGCTTCATGCCAGTGAAGTTACGCTACATGATTGGCTGAGCGTTGCTACATGATGTAAAACATTGTGGTTGCCCAGACAACAATAACAAGGCAGCGTCCGTGTCCTAAGTTGGTAGCATCTGTAGTGTTGGCGTGTCTAATAACTGATGAGGCTTTACCTTATTGATAACGAAACTGAAATAAATCTGTTTCTGGTGAACAAAGTAACTGTTAGACCTTGATATAAAGAGCTGAGTAGCACTGTGGCTAGCTGTGCTAACAGGTTAGCCTCTTTTAGCTCGGTCAGTTAGCCATATTTAGCTACACTACTTTTAACTTTGTGTCAACAACCGTTCATTTTCTACAAGTAGAAAATTTGTTTTGTCTAAAATCTCCATTAACTTCCATTTGTCTTCCTCTGCCCCCAGATCTTAATAAAAAGAATAAAAATAAGTTGAGACTCTTTTTGTCTCCTTGTTAAATAGCAGAGCTCAGTCTGTCTTAAGCAGTGTAGCCAACTCCTCAGTAAGGAAAGTAGCTACTGGCTGGGCTATAAGTCACTGAATGACGTCATTGCCCTATTTGCATAATTTTTTTTCAACTGTTTTTTTTTTTTTTTTTTTNTAGAGTAAAATAAGAAATATTTGGGACTGAAGGTTGACATGCATTCTCAGGGGGATCAGGCCCTGTCAAACATTCTTTCAGCTGTTATCAGGTTCACCTGTTCAGTGATCTGTCAGCATGAACACAAGAACCATAGGTCTTATTCAAACATGGGTTTGCTGCGTCAAGGACTAAGGCCTCCGTACATGGGTCGTATGTGCTAACCACTGCGACACCAAAGCACGCCCCGCAAAAGACGTTTTCAAAGCAGTTCTTTGATTGATGATGCTTCATACCAGCTGAGGTCTGTTAAGCTGCGGATGCTTTCAGCTCATTTCCTAACTTAAGCTTTTTATCCAGAAGGCGATGCCATGAAGGGGAACAAATTATAATCCAGAAGTTTGGACTCTTTTATCTGTTTAGCTTGGAAGAATCGGCCCAGTAGAAAGCCAATTAAATCATTGGTCTCATCAGATGTGACTTTATCAGCCATCATTGGAGCTGGTGGGGAATGATTTCTATTGATGGAGCTGAGATTGGATCGGCACTGGGAGATCAGAGTGTTCTGTGCAGGAAACAGATAGGGGGACCATCTCTAAACTGTAATGTGATAAGGAAGCTTCAGTCAGAAATGGGGAATGTGGCTGAAAATAAAGGTGCTTTTCCAGCTAAACCATGAGCTCAGCTGCTGGGTTTATCAGCTGATTGGGTCCACTGCTTCCTGTCGGTCTACTTGCTGGCAGGTCAGCCTCAGGCACGTAGTTGGAAGTGTTGCAGTCAGTATGTTAGCAACAGTCAGACTCTGGGTTCAGGTTATCAGTCAGTGAACGGCCAATGAGAAACCATGATGGTTAGAGGCCACCAGCGTCTACTGATGTGGTCGATGGTGATTAGCAGATAACTGGGGAGGCTGCAGTAGTTAGCTTAGAGTGATGCATCGCAGGATAAACTCTTCTCCTGGTTTATTTATCTCCAACTTTAGTCAAGGTGGTCCTGATTCATAGTCTGCTCTGATGCATCGGTCCCCAACAAATGAAAACACTGCTTCCTCTAACCCGCAGGCCTGCTTGATCTGGTGAAGCTTTTCTTCATGTCATCAGCTTTTAACCGTTTCACTGCCTCGTTTGAGATAACTTAATTAATGAACTTATCAGGTTTGATTCTTTAGCCTGCTTTATTTAGGGTTTGACAAGCGTTTCTATAGCAACATTTCAGAAAGGTGTTT